TAAAAATCATATCTGGCTGCTCAAGACATGAATATCCTGTCATTGTTAAATGGAACGCTTCTCAGATAACTCACTACTGCACACTTTAATCATTGAAGACAGACAAGCCACAAATGTATATGAATGACAAATGTAACTTAGTCTACATGGCAACACACCACCTTCTACCATGAACTTTCTTTAAACTTAATAACTCAGAAACAAAGGATTTGGGGACATATGTTTATATAGACTTTTGTCTAAAGTTTGTAAAAGTATTTTTGATATATATATATATATATATATATATATACATAATGGTGTTTAATATAATATCAGGTTATGAGAATGATATGGAAGAAAGGAATATTCTCAGTTTGGGCATTATTGCATCCATGACATGATAACACCTTATTTCATGGACAGAACAAAATAGCTGTAAGGAAAGAAATGACAAACATGATTTGTTGTCAGAGAAACTTTGATACAGCTAAGTCATATACAAAATTATATACAGATATTTACATATGTCCCACACAGAGAAATTATAACATGTATACCACACAGTTCGAAAATGGTGAAGACAGAAAGTGTTTTACTTGTAATAATTCTTAACATGTTTTTAAAAATCACTCTCACAACGGAATGCAGATTTTAATGCAGTTACAATAAGTTTGTCTTTGTAATTTACCCCTGAAGATGATCTTAGAAACGATCAATAGTATTTGAGTTAAAAAAAAAAACTATGGCACCTTCCTTGATGAATTTCATCTAAACATCAAGAAACAGATTAGATAACTGGAAAGGATCAGTATAAACTAAGTAGACACAATATATCTATATTATTCAATGAAACATGTTTGAATGAAGATATACTGCCTGTATATATATATATATATATATATATATATATATGTAAAAACCTTGTATAAACAAGTAATAAGTATTGTTAAATTCAACCAACAAAATCTGTCTCTAATTTTTCTTTATATTATTACAATTTTCAAGCAAGATGTACATTGGAATCAAAAATATAGATAAACTAATTATCTTCTGTCTTAACACTTGTTCTTTTATTGATCTGTTTCCTTAATAGTATTTTTCTAATATTATCTAACACTCTGTAACCTCTTGCATCTTAGTGGCTTTATTGCCTTACATGAAGTGAAATTAAAAAAATAAGCATGAACTTTCCACACGTACAACCTCTTATTTCAAAATTGGAAAAGTTCAATAAAATATCAAACAGATAGATCTTGTTGGATGAATTTAACAAAACCTGTATGTATGTATATATATATATATATATATATATATATATATATATATATATATATATATTTATTAAAGACATTTTTATGTTTAACGTTGTTTTTTATAGATACAAGTATTTAAGTAAATGCTCTGTTTATGATAAACAGTATTAAATAACATTTACCAGCCTGAATGTCCGAGAAATTTTCACAGAAAATGTCTACCGAACGCTCCTTTGTGGCCGATCGGATAAGGCACGTCAGCATAAATGACGGTTCCGTATAGGATGCAGGTTCGAATCCTGTCAAAGGACGAATATTTTCTATGAAAATTTCTTGGACATTCAGGCCGGTAAATGTTATTTAATACTGTTTATCATAAACAGAGCATTTGCTTAAATACTTGTATCTTTAAAAAACATCGTTAAACATAAAAATGTCTTTAATAAATAAATTGTCGGACTTTGTCCATTTCTTAATATATATATATATATATAAGTCTCTGTAAGTGTGTATGTGTGTCTGTGTTTGTGCTGTTCCTAGACTAATGATGGAAAAAGCATTCAAAATTCATATAAAAAATCTATTTTTTAACATAATTTCACTTTTTGTCAATGTCTTTTCTTCACTGGCAAATTTTAATCACACAGATTTTAACATGATACAGTGAACATTTAACCTAAAACTTCAGTTACTAACAACATGTGTGGCCATGGACATACTGACCCAGCCTCATTTGTGCATACCCTCCTTCTTACCCTCAGATATTTCTCTGACAGCTCAGCTGGGAATATATATAATGCAAATTATTTTATGTGCACATTTCAAAAAACAAAAAAAAAATATTTTTGAAAACGGATATTTTAAAAATTCAAACATTCATTCTTGTTCATTTCTGCATTGTAACAGCAAAAAATAATTATTAAGTATTAATTATATGATAGAAATTATAAAAGTAAAACAAAAATGGTGGGTAATGCAAAACAAAACATGCAATATTGATTATCGCTGTCAGCACTAATTACCAATGTGATCAGGCACAGGAAATTCATTAAAACAAGGGAAATAAATCTTCCTGGATATTTCTGTAGAAAGACATGTAGGAACTATATTTCTGCAATGCTGTCAATCAGTTCTGTTTACAATTATTGGAAATTTGAGATCTGGGTTCATAATTTAAAAGGACATATCGAGAGATTTGTGGCAAATCTATACAACAGTTTTCTCTCTTTGTTGTTTTTCATCTCTATAATGTGTAGAATGTGACTCATACTAGGAAATACCAAAGGTCGAAATCAAACACAATGTACATCAGGAAACCTCTGATCAAAGAGAAGGTGATCTGTGGCAATAGCTCCAAGAGGAACCAATGTAAGTTTTCTACTCAGTGTCACCTCTGAACATCAAAATAAGGCTTACAGCCACATCACATTAAAACACTGGTTCCTCTACAACCACTAAAGTTAAGCAATGTCAAGGTTGGTCAGTATTTAGATGAGTGACCATTTGGGAATACCAGATGTTGTAAGCATGGATATAAGGTTTGGGGTAAGAGATAATGACTCATAATTGTTAATCAGAGAGACAAGTTCCAATTCCAGTTAGATTCATTATATTCACTTACATGCAAATGCCCTGGGGAAAAGATAGGAATCCACCTCTTCTCCATCCAGCTATGGATTAATTAGTAAGAGTAAAACAAATTTTCTGCAGTCTAAAAATATTTTCTAGCTTTAAATAACCCGCAAAGGGTTGATAAGCCATAGAAAATGAAACAATGAATGAATGAAACAGTTAAAAAACATAAGGGTCGACCTAGAAGATGGCTGAATAGTCACCAAATGCAGAATTGTGCCTCAAAAGTTACCAGTAGGTGGACTGACATGAACAGGATTTGAACACACCAGAACTTAGGATATGTACACATAAGACAACTGGATGACAAGATATACAGATATACAGGGGGTGATGGATAAGTTGTTATCTAAATTATGCAAAAATGGAGATAACGCTGACATCTCATTTTAACAGATATATTTACCAAAATTACACAAAAAATATCTTCAAATACTAAAGAGTAAATTTATTCAATAAAATCGCCATTGGCTTCAACTATGATGACTTTAGAATCTCCTGCATCTTTTCTGGATGCTCTCCTTGTTTAAGTTGGCAAATACTGCCATAATCCTTTGCTTTCAGTTCATCTTTGGTGTTACAAGAAGTATTTTTTTGTCACTTGCTCAACTGTGCCCCACACATAATAATCAAGGGAGTTGCAGTCTGGGGAGTTAGGTAGCCAGATGTAAGGAGCGATGTGGCCACAGAAATTGTCTCACAGCCATAACTGGGTTCTCCTGCTTGTGTGGCCTGATACAAAATACTGTTGCCAGACATAGGATCTTCTAGCAGCCACCCTATTGACCTGCTGGTGTGACATGATGCAGAGTACTGTTGCCAGATATAGGGTCTTCCAGCAGTCAACCTATTGACCCAGGGCAGCACTACCTCCATGGCTATGGACCTGATTGACTAGGAGGGATCATTGTCAATCATAGACTGGATCTCACCAACAAATTCAGGAGTTCTTTTCTTATCAGAATGATCAGGTTGAGTTTTCTGAGCTGATGTACCTTTGTAAATACCATTAGACTCATCCAACTCTTTCTAAATCATCTGTACTGTCCTCAGATTGACACTGAAACACTCTGAAATGTTCATATTGGAGCTTCTGTCATGAATGCCAAGCTGTACAGCATGCCATTTCCAAATTACTGGCAGAGTGAATTATGTCATGGTGCTCTTTTTCTCATAGATAGTGCCTAACTGACCCTACTATACTGTGAAATTAACAAAATCAAAAACAAACAATGTGTATGCGCAAAATTAAAAATATAAAATGGCGACAATTAACCCATAGCACCCTGTAAATGCTCAGTCTCTGAGAGAGAAGGCAGAGTTCCTCAAATCCTAACAAGATTGATTGACTGATTTGCTTTTTATGGCTTATCAACCCTTTATGGATTATTTAAAGACAAAACATAAATAGTAAAAATTATTCTTTGATCTTGAGAGTGAATATTGCATTAAAAGTTGTTTTTTTTTATTTCAGAATAAGAAAGATTTTTCCAGATATGTGCCCTACTATGTAACCAATAGCTGAAAGAACGTGAACATAATGAACCTGACTGGAATTTGAACTTGGCTCTTTGACTTTTCATTTAGAGTCACTATCCATTACACCACCTGCACATCCATCCTCATAAGTAGAATATCAAACATTCAAAGAAAGTCCCAGAAACCACATACCTTCTGCAGTCAGCATTCAGTCTCCAGAGTGAATAAATAATTATTTTACTAATGAAAAATTTTGTCTTGTAACATAATATTACAAATGCATAATACTTGTTTTTCTTTTCTGTCTGTTTTTTGGGGGGGTTGAGTTTTTGTTTTTGGCATCTCTACAATAATTTTTTCAGGACAATCTTCCCTGCAAATTCAAATATCACATGAAAAAATTGTTGCCAAAAAGTTCAACTGACAGGATATCTTGTGATCTATTTCTTTGTCCAGCAAAAACTGGCAATATATTTTGATGATTTGATGTTACACATCAACATGTCCTTCTCCTACTGATTAAGTGAGCAATAATGATGAGATTTGCCATTTCTATGCATTGACTAAACAGCTAGTGTTACTCTCAGCTGAAATTTATAAAATCTTTTTCTTAAATCAGTTTTTCAGGAAATTATACATATTTATGCTTATGAGCATATCGCATTAAAACACCAGTTCTCATCTGATATCTGAAGATAAGCAACATTGATCCTGGTCAGTACCTTGAAGGGTGACCACTTGAGAATACCAGGAGCTGTACACTTGAATGTGCAGGGCTTGTAATGTATAATGGCTTGGAATGAGAAATTGGAGAAACAAGTTCAAATTCCAGTCAAGCTTGTAACATTCACTTACACACAAATACCCTTGAGAAAAGGATGCCATCATCATTTCTCCTGTTGCTATGGTTTAAATAGCTGGACTGACCGAATCCTATAACCTTGGTTGGCAACCAGCCTACTGCAGAAAATAATGGCTGCCCAAGGTGGGAATACTTCTGTCAAGTCAATCATGAATTGAAAAGAGACATGATCGCCAAAGTATGCATCACACATGCCACTTAAGGAAGGAAGGAAAGTGTTACAGGGTGTTATTTACTTCACCACATAAAAAACAATAACTCAAAATACAATGGAGTTATGTCACTTGACTGCTAGTGGAAATGTGGCACTTCTGTTCCAAAATGGTGATAAGCAGACATGCACATGGAATCATTGTTTAAATCCAAACAAATCCTTGCTGTTCTCAGGTGGTAAATGAATAAAAATCTAACAGCATATTAGCTCATCTTTGCAGAAGATTTGCCGGATACACTAGAAGGCCTTTTTTAGATTAAAATATACTAAGAGGCTTGTGATTTGTGATCAGACTGTAATGACATCTACAGAGCATTTTTTGGAACTTTTTAATAGCAAAGACTATTGCTAATACTTCTTTTTTAATTTGGCTATAATTACACTCTGCCTATGGCAGTGATCAGGATGCATAAACTATTGTCTTTTAGCTGCCATCAGGGAATATGTGAGAAATTACACACCCAATACCATAATTGGAAGCATCAGAGACCACTATAATATCCATGGATGAATTGTAGTGTGTTAAAAAAAGACTAGAAGTAAGGACTTGAACTTTTTGAAGGCTACCTGACACATCAGACCACTCCCATGCAACATCTATTTTCAAAAGGTTGTTGAGGAGTGCACAAACTTGATGAAGTTCAGGCAAAAAAACACTGTAATGGCTAACCAAGCTAAGGAAAGAACATAATTTTCTTACATTAGTTGGTGCTGGCATTTTGTTCTCATTGCTGAGATATTTTCCTGATCTAGTCATCTACTATTTTTGTTGAAAATAAAGCCAAGGTATTTGATTTGTTCTCAGAAAAATTAACACTTTTCAGCTTTAACATGGAATCCATGTTGTTGAATTCAGCTGAAAACAGAAAATAAATGTTGCAAAAGTTCTTGATTTGTTCCTGCAACGATGATGTCACCAATGAATGCTACAAGTCCTGTCAATCCAGTCAACATGACATCCATTGTTTGTTGGAAAATCACTGGTGCTGGTTTTACACTGAAGCTAAGATGGTTAAATCTGAATAATCCCTAGTGAGTGTTGATAGTAAGGAGCTCTTTGAACTCCTCGTCAACTTCCAGTTGAAGAAAAGCATCAAAAAGATTAACCATTGCAATGCAAATTCCACCATTGAGTTTTGTGAAAAGATCCTCCTGAACTGAAAGTGAATACTGATTTGCATTCAAAGAAACATTCAAACGGGACTTTTCCTTTTGCCTTTTCAACAAACATATTTGCATTATCTAGGCTAAAAGCATTACCAGTCACTTCTACAATGATCTGTGTAGCCACAGCTTCTGATCCAGTGTTAAAAAAAAGTGATATGCTTTCATTGTACAAAATGGCCAGAAGTATGCACTGACAAAAAAATTCAGCCATTCTTTCAGGTTTGATCTTCATTGTCAGAAGTTGACGACTGTCTTCTTTTTGCGGAATATATGATTGTCCCATCTTCATTACATGAAAAGTGATAAAGCAATTCCATTATGGTCATCAAGATATTAGCTGTATGAAATTCCTAGCACACAACTATGTTTATTGACCAAACATAGACAATCAGTAGGAATAATTGTTCCAATTGGCAACTGGCAGCAAAATCTCACAGGAAAATTCCACTCACTTCCTGGCCTATCCCTGAATCATCCTGGCCATGCTTTCGCATTGACTTTGCTGAACCCATCACAGGGCAGTATTATTTTAACCTCTTTGATGCTTACAGCAAATGGTCAGAAATATTTCAGATGAATCGCATCACCTTGGATGAAACAATTCTTAAGTTAAAACAAATCTTCAATAGAGTTGGAGTTCCACAGATACTATTTTGGGATAATGGCACTGCATTCACTTCAGCTGCATTTTCAACATTCTGTGCACACAGTGGTATTCAACACATTAGGACACCACCTTTTCATGCGCAATCAAATGGATGAATGGAGCATTTTGTAGAGAGCACTCCTCAAACTTGAAGGGAAAGGAACCACACAAGGAATATTCTTTGAAGTTACTGAGCTATACCCAATTCAAACGTACCTAATGGAAATTCACCACCAGAAACACTGATAAACCGTCAAGTTTGTTTACACATAGATATCATCCATCCAGCTAGAAACCATTCCCTAAAAAGGAACATGGTGATAGAAGAACAATTTAACCATCATCATGAAGCAGTGAAATGCAAATATGTACCAGGACAGCCTATACTTGCAAAAGATTATCACAACAGTAAGGAAAAATGGACGCATTATATGTCACGCTAAAAATGTTACGTATGATGTGGATATACAGTTTTCAGTCTGTGTTCGATAAGCAAACTAATTACAACTACCAAACCTTTTGGAGACCAAATTAAACTTCACTTTTCTGCTAGGCATTCTATTGGGCACCTCCAAACTGCCTCCACAAAGTTCCCAAGTAATGCCAAAGGACAAAGATAGGACTCCAGCAAAAAGTGCACCAAGGAAATCGTCTATGAAGTAAGCCATACCCACTGCAATTAAATCCCTGACAAAAGTCATACGAGCACAAGGTTAAAAAGGAGATGTGTTAGAGGTTATACTTACTTTCCCCTATAAAGGATGATAACTCAAAATACAATGGAGTTACATCCCTTGTTCGCTAGTGGGAATGTGGCACTTCTGAATCCCAAATGGTGATAAGCTGACACACATGTAGAACTCATGGTTTAAATCCAAACAATCTTTGCTGTTCTCAGGCAGTAAATGAATAAAAATTATTTTATTATATGTTAAAATACACTTGTCCTTTATTTTCATTCATTTTTGTTTATCCCAACAATCTGGGACATAACAGGAAAAAAGAAAGAAGGCTTTTTATGTTCACTGTTTACATTATTTAAATTTGGTGTAATGTTGTTATTATCACAATGTTTCAGTTGTTATACCCTCTAGACTTCTTCAGGTATCTGTCAATCCAGGTAACCATCAGGGAATTTTGAAGTGAACTCTTTATTTGTTCTACAGCAGTAGATGGTTATTGCTACTCTGTCCATGTCTAGAGATACTGCATTCTTTTTCATACTATTCAGTTATTGCTCATACTGCATCTGTACTACCTTACCCAGGGATTGAACTCATAATTGCAATACTTTTAAGCAGTACTAAAAAATGAACAAGATAAAATATCCATATACATGGACAGACAAACAAGAACAGGGGTCATGTTCAGAGACTATCATTATACATAGAATCAGTGAAATGAGAATAAACACAGCTCAAGACCGATTGACTTAGATATCTTGAAGGCCTTTGACAAGGTGTGGTATAAGGGGTTTCTATGGAAACTCTCCAGCTATGTCATTTCTGGAAAAGTCTTCTTAATTAACAAGTCCTCGCTATCAGGTAGGTCAATGAAGGTCATTATTAATGGCCAGTCCTCTGAAGCACATCAGATCAATGTTGGCATTCCCCAACTCTCTCTCTTCAGTCCTACAATCTTTCTACTTTATATTAACGATCTGCCTAAGAACATTCTCAGACCTTTAATAAATATGTATGCAGAAAAGACCCCAAAGCCACACACCCAGTGATTGATGAAAACCAGAATGAAATAAATAGCAATATTACATATGAAATGTTCAGTCCAGGGCTTTCATTTCTCAGCATGACAAACATTACACAGAATGTTTATATATATATATATATATATATATATATATATATATATATATATATATATATATATATATGTATAAATTCATGAATCATTCATACAAAAAAAACAAATATAGAGGTTAATGATTTAAATGGTGAGAATACTTCGTCGCAAACAATACAAATAAGATAAATCAACCCCGAACCTGTATATGAATGATATGATCCCTGTTTATAAATTCCTGTTGCATAAAGTCTTTTTAATTTTTTACAAGCTTTCGTCTGTTCCTACAGACATCATCAGGTATGGAATAGATTTTGTTCTTGTTTGTACTTCTCAGTAATAAGAGGACAATGAAAATAGAGATGTAATCCGAAAAAATGCTATGAGAAATGTGTTATTGTTTTGGAACATGTGGTCGCAATGCTGAGTTTGAATTTAAATTTTACGGTTCTGCGTTTTTGTACAAATATAGCAATAAGAGAATTCTTTTTTACTGGTAGATTTTCCATGAATATGGCATGAACTATATTGTTCAATAATTACAGTAATGTCATACTTATTATCCGAGAGTTGCATGTTGGATCAGTTATTTTAATTTCAATATTTGTTTTTTGTATGAATGATTCATGAATTTATAAATTATATTTGCACCTTTTAATTGAAATATATATATATATATATATATATATATATATATATATATATATATATATATATATATATATATATTTAGGAAAATCTATGACAAAGTGTAAAAAGACTTTTCCTATGACACATTTTATCCTTTAGGACTAAAGTGATGCTTACATTGATGCAACTACATATGCACATGAAGGAGAGGGACACAGAAATTTTAAATTTAATTTAATTTTTTTGTTTTTAATATGAGTTTGGGGTATATAGTCTATATGACACATTTGACAGAGGAGGGGCATATTCAACATTTGATAATTTTGCAGCAATACATGCTTAAAGGTTTTAGGCAGTTTTGATCAACATTTCTTTTTATGGTTAGCCAAAAGGAATTGTAAATTTAGGACTACCTTACATTTAAGTAAAATAAAAACAAT